CCCACCCGACACAGGACAATTGGAAGAAGGTCCTTGCAAGATTTGGGCTGTCTGCCGACGCGCGCACACACACGAATGCGTGGTAATGCTTCTGTTCCTGCAGTTTGCCCACAGGCCACCAGGGATGACTGAGCTTAACTAGTTCCCCAAGGGGTTGACGATAGAGGCAAGTTGTACATGACCTTTATGTGGGGCAGACACTCACTGAGAGAGAATGAAAGGACCAAAAGCTCTGAGACCTAAACACAGGAACTCTTCATAATGTCAGTGTGCAATCACTACTGAGCGTAGACAGGAGGCCCCTACGCAATCAGAAGAAGTAAGTAAACAAGGGACTTGAGGCAAGTGCCTCCTCTCCGTCCCGCTCCCCCTGGCCTTCTACTCCTTCCAGTCTTCAGCAATCTTAATCCTAAGCAAATACGGATTTTTTTCTACTTCTTTGTCCGAGATCCCAGAGTGCTGGTTGAGGTTAAAAAAATCAGTCTATGTCCAAAGATGTTCCAGATGTATCTATCTGATGGGTCTTGGATGAGAGAATAAATCGTTTAATTGCTGTTCTGTCTTTATGTTAACGTGTGTGTCCTTTGATCTATAGGACCCACCTTTCAGCATTTGGAGCATAAAACTTGTTTCAAATCACATTGCAAGTGTTGATGATTGTGTTGTAACTTTTACCCTCTGTTGTTAACAGCAAATATGTTTGTCTTCAGTTGATGCTAAACTATGTATCGTTAGGTTTTTTTAAAACCTCTCAACCTTAACTTTCTTCTCTGAAATAAAGCACTGCCATTAACTAATAGTTCCCCCAAACTTCCTCCTTTTACACTAGAATAAGACTTTGTTTAATGCTTGAAGCCGAACAGTCTTCTACATTTTTCCTTTTGAATATGTAAAATACTTTTTAAATTGGCTGAAGTTATGTTGTCTGTTGCATCTCTCCCACAATTTCAATACCTAGTTCCTTGAGATCACAGCAAGGCTGGGAGCTCTACAGGGAAAACAACTTTTAAATCCTCACACGTTGCCCTGGCAGGTGTAGTCCCGTTGGTTAGAGCATCATCCTGTACACCAAAGGGTAGTGGGTTTGGTTCCCAGGCAGGGCGCATACCTGAGTAGCGGGTTCAAGGCAGCCGATTGATGTTTCTTTCTTACGTCAATGTTTCTCTCTCCTTCTCTCTCCCTTCCTCTCTCTCAAATAAATAAATAAATAAATAATCACATGTCCTACCAATGGAGCAGATGCACAGAGCTGCCTTGTACCAAAGCGAAATATTTGCTCTACACCTACTAGGCTTGAGAATAATCCTCTAAGATGTCAGTGACAGCTAGTAGTAACTGTCCATGATTGAAGCATGCTCAATGCTACAATGTCTCAACTTTAGTAGATAAAGTAAAAACATAAGCCTCCTACAGTCATTTGCACCACCAAGAATCAAAATAAATAAACAAAACAGTATTCGAGATGATACTTGGGGCTGCTCTGGGGACCTGAGCCAAGATTGTCTCATCAGCTTCCTACCTCATTTGTTTAGGGCCAACTTCACCTCTCGCCCTTTTAAATACCCTGGGTCAAGGGTGAAGTTGATCTGATAAGTGATTGTATACGCCAATGTTACAGGCTTGAGAGATTAGTCCTCCCTGAACTCTTTCTATTTTGAGCAGGCAAATGATTAGCCCAGAGAAATCAATCACAATGGTGGAATTTGAAACACAAAAGCAGAAGACAGGGAAGGAGACCCCTTCATCCGATGCATATGGACAGCAGCCCACCTGTGCGGTAAACCATGAGAACATTCAGCATCTCATAGGGAAAAACAAAACCTAACCTTTTCTGTCTCTGAACAACCCTGAACAGATCATCCACAAACTTAGGAACAGTGTAACCTGGATCTGACAGCAAAACGTAGCACGCACGCTTCTTTTCGTTCTGTTTTGTTCTCTGTTGCAGAAATAGCACACCTGTCAAAGCAGCCGGGCACAATGGGGTGCAGCCCGAGTAAAATCGTATCAAAAAAGAACAGACAAATTATAAGGTAATAGTACAACGCTCACATCCAGTGCCTCCTTGTCACCTCACAAGCAAGCTGACAGCTGAGCCAGCCCACTACTGCCGTGCTGATGAAAAATACTGACATCTGCGTTCTAGTGCTGCACCCGTACTAAACCCGACTTGAGCAAATTCAAAACTTCACGCTGAGCTTCAAGTGTAGAGAAAGAGGGGTTGAAAGGGCCCTCTTCCTTCTCTCTCGCCATCCTCCAAAGGCAGGAAAGGGGAAAAAGTGAAAGAGGGGGGCAATGCAGGCGCCAGGAGAGAGTTAGGAAGAATGCAGCCCAAATACAAGTATAATCCACTTAAAACCAGAGTTATCTGATTGTTTATTGTCTGTCTCCTCCACAAGAATGTAGGGTCCATGACAGCGGGATTTTTTGTACCTTCATCACTACTGTATCCTCAGGGTCTGCTGCATAGTAGATGCTAAATATATTTGTTGAGTGAGTGAATGAATGAATGAAATCAGTGCTCTCAAGAAAATAAGAGAAAACACACACACACACATTTGGCTCTACGTGCCTCTGGCCCGCCTTAGAAATGGGCACATGAATTGGAAGGAGTAAGTAGTCCAGCAATTACGAGAGTCAAGTTATATTCCATGTGTTTTTTTTAAATTTATATTTATTGTTGAAATTATTACAGATGTTCCCTTTGTTCCCCCACTGATCCCCTCCACCTCAAATCCACCCCACCCCCAGGCCTTCCCCATAACAATGTCTGTGTCCTTGGGTTATACTTATAGACATAGAAGTTCTCTGATTAATCTCTCCCCGCCCCACACTCCACCTTCCCTCTGAGATCCCTCAGTCTGCTCCATGCTTCTATGTCTCTGGATCTATTTTGTTCATCAGTTTATTTTGCTCATTAGATTCCACATATGAGTGACATCATGTGGTACTGGTCTTTCTCTGACTGGCTTATTTCACTTAGCATAATACTCTCCAGGTCCCTCCATGCTGTCCCAAAGGATAAGTGATGCTTCTTTTTTATAGCTGCATAGTATTCCATGGTGTAAATGTACCACTTTTTTTTTTTTTTTTTTTTTTTTTAATCCACTCATCTACTGATGTGCACTTGAGAAGAATGTATATTCTGCAGCTTTGGGCTGGAATGTTCTGTAAATGTCAATCAAATCCATCTGATCTAGTGCGTCATTTAGGGTCACTGTTTCCTTGTTGATTTTTTGTCTGGAAGACCTATCCAGTGAAGTCAGTAGGGTGTTAAAGTCCCCTACTATGACTGTCGTGCTGTCGATCTCTCCCTTAAAGTTCTCTAGAAGTTTTTTATAAATTTAGGTGCTCCTATATTGGGTGCGTATATGTTTATCAGGGTTATATCCTCTTGTTGGATCAATCCCTTTAGTATTATGTAGTGACCTTTCTTATCTCTCGTTATGGTCTTCATTTTGAACTCTATTTTATCCGATATAAGTATTGATACCCCAGCTTTTTTTTTCATTTTCATTCCTTCACTCTCATCCTGTGTGAGTCTTTTGTTTTGAGGTGGGTCTCTCAAAGACAGCATATATTTGGGTCTTGTTTTCTTATCCATTCAGTCACCCTATGTCTTTTTCTTGGAGCATTTAATCCATTTACATTCAAGGTTATTATTGATAGATACCTATTGCCATTTTAATTCTTTATGCCTATGTTTCTCTTTCTCTCTATTTCTACTTCTAATTACAGCACCAGTCCCTTTAACATTTCCTCCAGTGCTGATTTGGTGGTAATAAACTCCTTTAGCCCTTTTTTGTCTGGGAAGCTCTTTATTTCACCATCCATCTTGAATGATAGCCTTGCTGGATAGAGTAGTCTTGGTTTCAGATCCTTGTTTTGCATTACCTTCAGTACTTCATGCCATTCCTTCTGGCCTGTAGAGTTTCTGATGAGAAGTCATCTGACAGCCTTATGGGGGCTCCTTTGTAGGTAACAGATTGCTTTTCTCTTGCTGCGTTTAATATTCTCTCTTTATCTTGAATTCTTGGCATTTTAACTATGATGTGTGTGGGCATGGGCCTCTTTGGATTCTTCTTGTTTGGGACTCTCTGTGCCTCCTNCCTCCTCTGGCACTCCTATGATGCGAATATTGTTACATTTCATGATGTCCCACAGCTCCCTTAGACTATCCTCCTGTTTTTTTAATTGTTTTTCTTTTTGGATCTCTGATTGATTTTTTTCTACCCTGTCTTCTAATTTGTTGATCTGATCCTCAGCTTCTTCTAATCTGCTGTTTATTCCTTCCAATGTATTCTTTACTTCTGCTATGTCTTTCTTCATTTCTGACTGGTCAGTTTTCGTAGTTTCCATATCTTTTTTCATGCTTTTGAACAGCCTCACAATCAATNTATGCTGTATTCTTATAATCAGTATTCTGAACTCTATATCTGATAGATTGCTTATCTCCATCTCATTTAGCTCTTTTTCTGGAGGCTTCTCTTGTTCTTTCATTTGGGCCTTGTTTTTTTGTCTCCCTATTTTGGCTGCCTGTTTAGGTTTGTTTCTATATATTAGGTAGATCTGCTAGGACTTTCAGTCTTTTTGGAGGATCTCTGGTGCAGGCCAATGCCAGACACAGTTTATAACTGGCCCTGAGTACCCTGTTTGGAGCCATCAACAACCCT